GAGGCCCGGAGGCCCGCCTTTTAAAGGCATGGGGGATGGTGTGTTTCCTGACCCGGAGGGAGGAGCCCAAGGTCTCAGATGGCTGTCCTGGAAGACGTAGGGAGAAAGTAGGATTACTCTCCTGGAAGACTCCTGGAAAAAAAAAAAAAAAAAAAGTTTGCAGTAGATCTGCCTGGGAATTTACCCAACTGACTTCCATGACAGAAACAAGTAAATCACAGGAATATCTTAGGACCGTTGCCTACAGAACCAATACGACAGGTAGTTGTGAGAGTGCCTTCATCCTATAGCGCTTAATGAAGGTATCTCGGTTAGACTAAAATGACTACTTTGCAGATTCCACTAAAGCTCCTGTTTTCGCTGAACAAAATGTGGCCAAAGATCTGGCTGAATGTGCTTTTAATAAAAGGGAGGTACTTGTGAACCTTCTGTTCAATAAACCATGAAAATAGCTTGCCTAATCCATCTAGCAATTGTTGCCTTGAAAGCCTGCTACCCCTCTTTTGGTCCGCTAAAAAGATGACTAGATTTTCCAAAATCTCTGGTAGCCTCTAGGTTGCAGAGTACACATCTTCAAACATCTAAAGAGTGGAAAGCTCTCTTCTCATGGATCCTTGGAATCAGTACAGAAGAAGGAATAATCTCCTGAGATCTAGGAAATACTGTAGCTACTTTTGGTAAGTACATTGGGTCTGGTCTCAATAAACCTCCATCTGGAAAAATGGTAAAATGCGGCTCTTTGATAAATTAAGAATGCAAGTCCCCAACTCTCCTAGTGGTAGCGATAGTCAGGAGAAAGGTCTTCTTAGTCTAGGTTCACATATTTATGCGACGTGGTATATCGCATGTAATTAGCACAGGAACCGAACCACATTCCTATGCAAATCACATGCGATTTGTGTGCGGTGCGATTGGAGTCATACATTTTGTATGGCTCTAATCGCACCGAACCCGCATCAAAAAAGGTGCAGGACTCTTTTTTGGGTCCGCACTAGAATCGGGTCACATGGGTATTCACACCTATGCGATCCGATTCTGTACATCGCACCGGGTTTTGCGGACCACTTTTGGGGTGTTGTTAACTTAACATACACACCTGCAGCAGTTTGCATGAACGGGGTGCGATTCTGATGCAATGCGGAATTCTGACAGAAAACCAGGGCTTAAAGTGTAACTTCACTCTCTCAATCAACATTGACTATTTTAATCCTTATGCTGCTAGCATTAGTAAATAGACCACAATGTATATCATATTTACTTATTGTTTTAAACAGGTTTTTACACTTCTTCCGTTCCTTCCTGGTTTCCATGCCTAGGCAAATGATGTCATACATCCCAGTAATCTTCGGGGGGGGGGGGGCTTGGGGGAGTTCTCAGCTCAGCCTATGTCTGAGCTAAAGGCAGAGGGATTCCAGGAAGTAAATGATACATTAATCATCTGCCCTTACTCAAAATAACTATGACCTGAAATGCCAGAGGGTGTTTTCCAAAATTATTTCTCCACAAAATAAAGCATGGAGACATGGATGGATGGGGGAGTTTGCTTTGATATTAAAAATTAATTAAATAGCATTGTTTGGTTTGAGGTGCTCAGATACAGTGTGCAGTTCCACTTTAAGCATCAACAATTACTTTGAAGTTAGATAGAAGCACCTTCAGAAGGCCAAATATCAATCCTTTAGGGACTTTGGACAAATTTCATGCTGGAACAATATTTTGCTGAAGGAATGACCTGTTATCTGGGTATTTTTTCAGCTTAAAGTAAAGAAGGATACATAAGGCAATTCCCTGCTCTACTACATCTTAAGGAAAGTCCAAGATAAGCCCAGAACAGAGGGAGAAGAAATCTCACTCCTACTGCACAATGCCGAAAAAATCTTTCCCAAGCTTTGCATAAATTTTTCCTGGTAACAACCTTATAGCTCAAGTGAGTGTCAGAACTTCCTTTGTGTTTCAGGAACTCCCTTTTAAGATCCAGGCCCTCAACTGGAAAAAAATTTGAGGTGCCCAGCAGGTCCCTGGAGAAATTGGTCTCGTTAGTAGAGGCCAAGGAGGTTGTGACAACATACTCAGGTTTGAAAACCATACTCTCTGGGCCACGGGGGGGGGAACCAATCAGAATCAGTATGAATCCTGACAGACTCAGTTTATGTAGGACTCGACGGATAAGATCGAGGAGGTAAAATGCATATCCCAGTTTTAAAAGGGAGGGAATGAGGGAAGGGAAAATAACAGATATGCTGATCTTGCAGTCTCCTATACATCTTGTTCTGAAGCAAGCACTTTAGTTGGATCAGTAAACTGTTCTGTGGAGTATGTAGCCTACATTAAATCTTCCAATTTGTCTAAAGAAAGTAATTGCCAGGAAAGGCAAGAATCTTCCCCTGTCTCATCTACAATCTACACTTCTTCCCTGAACCGTCCAAAGACGTCCTCTTTTCTCTGTGGGGATGGGGACTGAGATGGACCACTGCCCAAATAGGCATCCAGTCCTGAGGATGTTAAGACATGCCATCTAAACTAAGGGATAAGGGGGTGGGAGGGGCCTTTTCACAAACTCTGTTGTGTTTCCTGTAGAGGGAGCAGCAAATCATCTCTCAGGTTGCTGTTGGTGAAGACAATTACGAAAATGTTTTTTCAAAATAGGACTGTTATCTTTGCAAGCCTTCCTCAACATATCGAACAAAAAAAAAAAAAAAAAAAAAAAACACTAATGCAATGTTAAAGTGTATGCATAGCTAAAACTTTTTTTTTGGTTGTGGATGGAAAACAGAAGGATTTAAACCAACGCCAGCTTACTTTTTGCTGTCTGTGTACTACTGGGTAATTTTCCTCTCTCCTGTCCCAGAGGCACAAAAGCAAGTGAGAGGAAATCTTCCATAGTGAGGATAATGATCTTCCAAGACAGTTGTCACTGTAACACTGTAATGTGTCAGCATTCAAAGGACAAGTTCACCTTTGGGAACATATTACATGTTCCACCAATTTTTAGGGGTGCGTCATTCACTCACAGAGTTATGTGATTGAATGAACTACAAGTTCCGCCAACCTTTGCAGCTGTTGGCGTTTGTGGTAGTTTATCGAGTCTTCCTGTAAGACTATCTGCTTATCACTGGTGCAATGCTTTCCAGGCTCAAATAAAGAAAAAAAAAAAAATTAAAAATGCACATTTTGTATCAGCAAAATAAATGTGTATTTATTTTTAATGTGAACTTATTCTTTAAAGATTTTCTCTCACCTCTTGCTCTGGGGACAACTGTAAAGTTCTAGATTGCTCCTCATTTCTGCACGGTGGCAATGGTCACCAGGGCAAACAGAGGGGTGAATCTCCCCAGTGGAGATGCAGACTAACAACAACTAAAAAATGACAATAAAATATATACAGTATCTAAAGTGTGTCTCCTCACCGTCATAATGGCTTGCCACTGGAACCTTAAATATTTTCTGGACACTGCTTTTATGAGTCTTTAGGCAGAGCAACTTTTTAGGGCTCTTTCACGCATGCAGACTCCACCAAGCAGATCTGCCTGCTCAGTAGGGGATCTGTCTGATGATCCCCGCTGAGCAGGCAGATGACAGGTCCATGCCCGCTCCACCTATGCAGAGCGGACACGGACACAGCCCGCTGGTCTGTATGGGGCAGTAAGATGTAAACAGACCACCTGTATGTTTACATCCAACTGTCATTTGATTCTCCATCCGTCGGTTTTTAGTGGATAGGATCGGATGCAGATTGCTCCATAGAGCTCTCTGTCGTGACTTCTGAAGGTTCAGCAACCAACCCTTTCTAAGACCTCTACCACCTGCTAGATGTTTGCGTCAGCTTCCTAAAGGGCAGCCTCTGAATTTGCCTCCTGCAGAGGAGTTCCACCAACCAGCACTTGACCCATAGGATCCTTCTCATGTGGACATAATGACTCACATGATAGCTGCTGTATGAAATCTTCCAAGGTATCCACCGAGAAACGTGAGGTTCTTGGAAAATCATACAGGAGCTGTCAAGATGGCAGGACCATGGATCTCATTTCTTTGCAACAGAGCATATGGTTCAACCAGACTTGAAGGACTTGCGAAACTCCCATTTCAGCCTCAAGCAGCATCTTTAAAGACCTGGACCTCATCCACCAGAATGGTCAGAATCTTATTCAAGTAGGAAATGGCCAGGTCAACAGCTAGAGAACCATTTTTGTTTGTAGAATTCCTCTTCGATGGGGTACTGCTGAGTGACTTGCTTGGGAGCTGAAAACACTTTCTCTGGGTGAGCCCAATCAGCATACATAACTTCCTGAAAGTGAGGGTGCACTGGAAAAGATTTAAGATTTTTTTGGCGACCGCCAGGACCTAAATCCCGTGACCTTTAGAGAAGAGGAATCCAGAAGTGGTCATTTCAAGTTAGTGCATACTGCAACAGCTGAAAAACCCAAGGTTTATATCCAAGGCATTCCAACCAAGTGAGAACCACTGAGAGCTGATCAAACAAAGCAGAAATAGCTGCACAGAATTCCTTTCTCGACACCAAAACAAATATGGTTGTGCCCCTAAAACAGTGGATATACCAGATAAAGGCAGAGATTTTTTAACTAACCTGACCCTTGAGGAAGCCACTGCAGAGCAAACTGTGCAGGGGGTCTTCCCTACCAAATTGAGAGATTTGGGAGTCCACACTCTCTTTCCCACTCAGCATCTCCAGCAGTTTTTCATTTAGTTATGTAACTACAGATTTTAGGGTGGCTATACACACTACTACATTTACCAAAACGATATTAGGAAAAACCTAAATAACCCATTCAATCTGCATCCAAACAGGCCCTTGCACTACCTAGCTGTTATAAGAGCTAAAGGAATCTGTACAAACAGATGGTAGATTGTATGGTCAGCTTTAGTCTAACAATCAAGAACATCTTGGTACTGTCGAGGTTGTAAAATACAAGCTAATCTATGCCGTTGAGCCCAGTCTGTAAATGATACTGACGCTTTATTATACTGTAGTAAGTGCAGAGCTGCTCATGCGAAAGATTGCACATACCTCTGCTGTTCTCCTTCTTGCTCACCACTCTATGAACCCGGGACATGTGCAGCGATTTGAAGAATACATTGTAGGCAGCATAGAAAGAGAAGACACAGTACAGGAAGACTATGCTATAGCACAATCTTTTTCGGGTGATTCTCATGCTGTCTTAATTGCACCCCATGATCTCCTCCTGAGTCTGCAGCAACACAACACCCCTCCTCATGTAAGAAGCGTTCTGACTGGCTTATGGGTACTTGCTTGGAGGAGATTCTTGCTGCACTTCCTGTGATGGACCGTACAGAGTGGCAGTGAGGGTGCTGCTCTGGCAATCAAGTTGGTTTTGTTCTGTAAAACACTGAAGGCCTGTTTCTTAAAGATGACATTTCTGTAGAAAATGGAAGAATCAATAAAAAAGAGAAGGGTCAGAGTGTTTTGAATGACAATAGTCACAACAGCAACAATAGCATGCAATGCCGATTTGAAATTCCTAGGGCAAGCAAATGACTAACTTTCTTGAAATGAAAGAAACATATAGGCTGTTTTACTAAAGAAGAAGATTTTTTTCATTTAGCATAGCAAGGAAAGCAAATATGTATTCACTCCAATACCCAATTATGTACAGGGGAAATAAAAAAAAAATCCTGCAGTAAAATCAATATCTTATCCCTATAAGCGTGCAAAGGATGCCTCTTGAATACGCAGCTAAAGTATATGTCAAAGCAGAACTTTTTTGGATGGAGTGGGGAAGGATAAGAACATGTCCGTTTATATCTGGGTTTATATTTGAGTTTTTACCTGTTATGTGGGGCTCCATTTGGGAGATTTACCCTCGCATCCTGTGTTGCCAACAATGGTTTCACCAGCAGAAAGTGAGGGAATATTTGCAACAAGGATGCATACAAAAATAAATATCTAGTAGAGATTCTAATCTTCCACTCTTCTAAAGAAAACAATTTTAAATTCGGTTTATAAGGCTGTTGGAAGGTTTTCCTTACTTCCTGTCTGGTTAAATGTCAGCAGCACAGAAAGTGTGGATAAATATCTCTACTGGAGCCCTGAAAAGCAGTAAACAGGATTAACAAAATCCTCCTACACTCAAAGACTAATAAAACAAAGTTTGAGCTGGTCATACACTAAAGTATTGTACATGGCTATTATACATTAAAACATATTAAGGGTTTATGCAGGGGCTAAAAAAAAAAAAAAAAAAAAAAAAAAAAAAAGCAGCACTTTCAGAAAGTAGGTGTATTGTTTTCTATGGGCCCATGCCCACACCAGCATAACCACCTCCAGTCCAGATTCTGACATTCATCTCCTACATGTATAAAACACACACATTTACTTTCTTTTACTAAAAACTACATAGAACTCCCAAACTAATAGAATATATATATATATATATATATATATATATATATATATAAATAAAATCAAGGCTTAACAAATCCCAGGTGCCAGGTCACCATGGCGACTAGGAATTGCATTCTGGTGCCTGGGGTTTGTCAGCCGTCCACTGTCAGACCACCAGGACGCCGATTCACTGATCCAGGGATTTGAAATCCCCACATCTTAATCTCCTATCTGTACCTATCAGCGTACAGACAAGAAACATTTTAATTTGTCAGCACTATCACATCGACACACTGACCAATCAGAATCCATTTAGCCCATCCTGTCAGTGCTGGGAGGAGAGGAGAGAAAGCTGCAGGGATTTCAAATCCCCAGACCGGCAAAGTGGCGTCCTGATGCCCGATAGCGGGGGATCGCGGGACACTGGTACAGCGGGACCAGGGGGTCCAGTGATAAGGTCACCTTACAGATTTTAATGTGTAATCCAAGCCCGCCCACATGTCCATCCACCCTTCCTCGCAGTTCCGGACGCTGGGCAGATGATTTAAAAAACTGGCTCCTATCTTTTTTTAGCTGGCTCCTAGATTCAAAGCAAATTTGTCAAGCCCTGATATATATATTTTTAAGCAGAGGCCCTAGAGAATAAAATGGTGGATGTTGCATATTTTTTGCCACACAGTATTTGCGCAGCATGGAGGCTGTGAAGCACCCCAAGCAATTGAGAATGCAATAGCAACCAGCAAGCTGCAAGAATGCTGTATGCTTTTAAATATTGCTCAGATGGTACATGCAAACAGCGCACAGAGAGCCTTACGCAAGCTCTTGCTGCCAGCAAAAGCCTGCATAGTAGTTGCCAGAATTTCAGATGGCCATGTATATATACCCTAAGGCAGAATGGGGCCCTAGAGAAGTTAGCAGCTTTCCCCCCCTTCCATTGATAAAGATTCGCATATGCATTCAGAATCCACCGTATCTGTTATTTCTTGTACTGGCACGGCCCTATCAGGCATCAGCTGCTTACCAGTACATCCTTCCTTTTGAAATGACAGGCAGGTACACAGCTTTGACCAACTGTGCTATCCCCCTGGTTTACTGAAGGAACTTGAAGTTGTAGCTGGGCCCCATGGACATCCATCGGGCCCCCTAGGCTGCTGTTTAGGTTGTCGCTGGTTTCTGATAACTAAAAAAATGCAGCAAAGTACAATTAAACAAGAGAGGTCTTCAGCTATGATGAAAATGCATTAAACTGAATTTATTCCCTTCTGAAGAATAGTAATGCAAGAGGATATTAATACATAAATGGTACATATAAAACACATTTTCTGAAAAATATAGATTGGAACAAAAAAAAAAAAAAAAAAAAAAAAGTTTTACAAAAAAAAAACTGGAACTAATTATAACTTTAACAGGGCTGTCTTAAAAGCATCATGGGCCCCTGGGCAAAGTAATGCACTGGGGCCCCTACCAGCCTGCCCCAATTTACACACCTACTCTCAGGAAATAAAGTATACATAGTTGAGGGAATTAAACATATATTTATTAGTACTTTCAATAAAACTGATTTTAAACAATAAGAAAACATGCCATAAATCAAAGACTAATCGACACAAAGGGCACCGTATGGGGGGAGGAAGGCAAAATACTGGGATCAGGATGGCACAGTACAGGTTCTGGGATGCTGCCCAGCCATCCCGGGACAGCTTAGTAAAAAGTGTGACTGTTCGGGCAAAACCAGAACAGGTGGCAAGCATGATGCAATGCAAGATTATTTTGGGGCCCCTGAGCAGTGTCCGGGGGTTCCCATGCATTAAGACAGCCCTGCTTTGTAGACTGCTTCCAACAGGTGTGAACCGCCTGTTCATCTGAGCACTCTGGCCACTAGTATAGGCTTTTCTGTGCAAGTTCCAGGCTTCAAACAAGAAGATCTAAGCCCTAAGGCTGGCCATACAGGAGCCATTTTTTTGTGTTCAGCCAGCAGGTTGCACAGAGGAAATTTATTTGAATCCCTCCAACTGCGTTTTTGCATCCTGACCATTAAAGCATTACTAAACCCAGGCCCCTGTATTCACTATATCTGGTCTCCCACAGAACATGGAAGTGCAATCATTTTAGTAGATCTAAACTGCTAAATACCTTTTCTCATCAGCAGTTAGAGCAGTCTTGTGACTTATATCAGTGTCCAGCAAAGCACTGGTTAAAGCTTGTAGGAGGAGTTTTCTTTCTGCTCTAGGAGGATGCAGAACCCCTAACCTCTGTCTGGATAGTGCTGATCGCATGCACTCACCCAAGAAAAAAAAAACCTCTCTAGTAATACACACTAAACTGAGCATGTGCAGAATGTCTACACACAATATGTCTTTTCAGGAGATAAGAGGGGGACACAGGAAGAAGGGGAGGATCAGAAAAGTCAGGATCAAACAACCTTTTTACACAATGCAGAGAATTAAAGTGTTACTAAACCCAGGACCCTGCATTCACTATATCTGGTCTCCCACAGTACACAGAACATGGAAATGCTACTATTTTAGTAAATATAAACTGCTAAATACCTTTTCTCATCAGCAGTTAGAGACGTCTTGTGGTTTCTATCAGTGTTCAGCCATGCATTAGCTAAAGCTTTGAATCCCAATCACGGCACCAACTGCCTGGAGTTTGCATGTTCTCCTTGTGCCTGCGTGGGTTTCCTCCGGGTTCTCCGGTTTCCTCCCACCCTCCAAAGACATGCTGGTATGTTAATTGGCTCCTGTCTAAATTGGTCCTAGTATGTAAATGTATGAATGTGAGTTAGGGACCTTAGATTGTACGCCCCTTGAGGGTTAGGGACTGATGGGAATGTACAACATATATGTAAAGTGCTGTGTAAATTGATTGAGCTATATAAGTACCTGAAATAAATAAATAAAATAAAGCTTGTAGAAGTGTTCTCTTTCTGCTTTAGGAAAATGCAGAACTCCTGACCTGTCTGGACGGTGCTGATTGGCCCTGTGCTGATCACATGGACTCTCCCAAGAAGAAAAACCTCTCTAGCAATACACACCAAACTGATCATGTACAAAATGCCTATGGCTTGGTCTGTCTTATCAGAAGAGATGGTTGCTTGAAAAAAGGGGAGGAACAGAGACGAAAGGATCAAACAGCCTTTTTACACAATGCGGAGGATTAACCCCTTAGGTTCCACAGCGAGTATAATACGCATGCTTTACTGCATATACAGACTGATTTTACTGTTGTGGATTTAGTAACACTTATGACTGGCTGTATGTCCCAGCCACAAGCAAATGCAGTTTTTTCATGCCAGGCATATTTATTACCTATACAAGTCCATGTTCCTTACCTTCTCTATTGGTCCTGGTGACATACGGCGACAGAATCCCCAACACTCCAACCACTGTACAGAAAGAGACCAGCTAGTCCTGTTTCCACAGCCTGGCTATGCTGGGATACAAGTAAGCCCTCTCCCTCCGGTGTATTATACATATGGTCTCCTCGTACTAGGAGACACTCCTGCCATCCAGTCACAAACATACAAAGTCACCCCACAGCCATGTAAAAGCAAGGACGTCTCCCAGCCTAGACTGCATCTCTCTGCTCCACTCTGCTCCTGTCTGTCCTCACAGGCTCCTCCCAGCCCTTTCCGGTTGTGTCTCCGTACACACACGTACACACACGTACACCCTTTCCTCTCCACATCTCCAAAAAAAAAATCTGAGGAGAAAACAGTGATATTTCTGAAACCACAAAGTGAAAACAGTTCTAAATCAAACATGTATAATATTGCAGCTTGCCAATCATTAGATGTGGTAGCTGTAT